TCTTTGTCCCAGGCCAGATGTTCCTCACAGCACTGACATCACTGTATCATGAGTCAGAGATTTGTGTCAGTGCTTGAACCCTGAACCCTTAATTTCTGATCAACTTGTTTTTTTTTTAATTTTTTAAATCACTTCCATTTCTAATACTTTGAGGTTTTTTTGAAAATGTTCCTTCATGGGAAGTTATTGGAGAAAAGTTGAATTCTGCAGGAAGGTAATCAAACCCGTCCTGCAAAAAATTGCAGCCACTCATTATTTATTGGATGAGCCCAGTTGCCACTAGAGGGCAGCAAATGGTTTGTATAGGTGTAGTGACAGCTTTGGCTCAGAGCACAGGCCAGGACATCACAGAGGGGGAGAAGAAAAAGATGTGTGGGACAGACATTTTGGCTTCCTTCTTTACCTTTATGTGTACATCTTTTGATGGAGAGATCTGTGGCTTTTTAGTGATAATGAGGTTATTAAAGACAAAGAAAATAGGAAGGTCTAAAGTTGTAAGAGTAGGTTCACGGCAGAGGTGACAGCTTGTTTGCCGTAGACATCTTAAGTCGTTAGCATAAAATTAGACTTTCTCAGACTTCTTGACTTTACAGGAGGCCGAGAGCTGGGAACCTGCACTTTCAGCAAGGTGGAATGCCTTCATGTTTGAAAACCCTTACTGAGGCCAGAAATGGGTATGTTTGCTTGCTTACTTTTTAGTTTATAACTTATATACAACTATGGCTGTTCTAAATTACTGAGTTTATTATAAAACATTCATAAACATAAAAATTAAAAACACAAACACCGAATTAAAGTTGACATGTGAACTTTCCATAATTCATCTGGGAGAGAGTGGAAAGAACAGATATCATCAATTAATGCTATCTAAGTGACCCTCCATTCTTGTGGTGTCATGATTTTGTTTTCCCAGCAGGCTGTAGGAGGCAACATTAGTGTCTGTAGAGGTTTTTTTGTTTTTGTTTTTTGTTTTTTTGTTTTGTTTTTTTTTTTTTGTTTCCCTTCAACAACATTGCCAGGAATTCTCTCTTCCTCTCCTTCTCTGTTTATCTGCCATTTCACAATATTAACTTTTTAAAAGATTTATTTTTTTATGTGTATGGGTGTTTTGCCTATATGTATGTCTGTGCATATGTACATGCCTGGTGCCCTTGGAGGCCAGAAGAGGGCATTGGATCTCCTGGTACTGGAATTGCAAATGGTTGTGAGCCACCATGAAGGTGCTGAGAATTGAATCAAGGTTGTCTAGAAGAGTGGTCAGTGCTCTTAACCTCCGAGTTATCTCTCCCATCCCCCATTATTAACATTTGATGCTTGGAAATGTCATATTTACTGCATATGATCTTAAATGCCCCCAAAGGCCCACATATTAAGGGCTTTCTTTTTCTCCTGAGCAGGACAATTTAGTTCCGTTAATATAACAGTGATAACACAGCCTTTAGTGACCACTTACTGTGTACCTGGCCCAGTGTACAAAAGAGGTGCACACACTGATGAGACAAAGTCTCTGAGCTCAAGGAGTTCTCAGTCTAAAGGAAAGGGAGGGGAATATAAGAGTTCTGGGGTCACCAAAGCCTCTAACCAAATTTCAAAGGAAAGGGTAAAAGGCCAGGACATATGTGATAGGATTGGGGCCCCTGCAGGCAATGTACAAATTATGAGAGTGTAACAAAGATATTGTGGGGAGAAGCCAGGAATATGGAATTTCTGCTGACGAAGGCTGCAGGCAGTAGCCACAGCCAACTTGAACATGTTGTCCCCAGTTTATTGAACCATTTGGGAAGGATTAGGAGGAGTGGTGTTGTTGAAGATGTCACTGGGGATGGGCTTTGAGTTTTCAAAAGCCACACCATCCCCAGTCTCTCTCTCTCTCTCTCTCTCTCTCTCTCTCTCTCTCTCTCTCTCTCTCTCTGTGTGTGTGTGTGTGTGTGTGTGTGTGTTTCCTACTTGCAGATAAGGATATAAATCTCAGTTACTGTTCCAGTGCTATGTCTGCCTGCCTGTTGTCAGGCTCTCCACCATGATGGTAATAGATTCCAACCCTCTGCAATTGTGAGCCCAAATTAAATGTTTTCTAAAGTTGTGTTGGTCAGGGTTTTTGGTGAGGGCAATAGAAAAATAAGACAGTCTCTAATTGAATACTATATGTAGAGGACTCAGGCACTCAAGTAAGCAACACGAAATTGGCTACTATGGGAAGAGAAGTTTCCAGAGTCTGAACACCCCCCCCCCGACACACACACACAAAGAGCCAGAGGGAGAGAGAAGAAGGGAGGTAGGAAGGGAGAAAGGGAGGAAGGAAAGGAAGGAGGAAGGGAGGGAGAGAAAGGGGGACAGAAATATGTACACATATGTGGAGAGGTGTAAACAGACATTTCCTGTCAAGACCACCCAGTCCCAAATAACCAACTCAGAGGCTGAATATGAATTATAAATGCTCAGCTGATAGCTCAGGCTTATTACTAACTAGCTCTTACAGTTTAAGTTAACCCATATTCCTTATTTATGCTCTGCCACTTGCCACTTGGCATGGCATGTTCATCTCCTGCTCCCTCTTTATCTGGCTGGTGATTCTGCCCTTCCTCTTCTCAGAATTCTCTTGGTCTAGCTCTCAAGCTCAATCTCTTCCTGCACAGCTCTCAGCCAATCAGCTTTTTACTAGCGAATGAGAGTAATACATATCCATAGTGTAGAAAAGGATTGTTCCACAGTAGAGAGGGATCTTTCTAGAGACAACTCCTCTCATCATCTTCTAGCTCCTCCTTCTAAGACCTCTTATCTGAGATATACTATTTCCCCTTATCTTGTAGAAACAGGATTTGAAGCATGTCCTAGATGAGAACTTGTCAAATATTTGTTTCAGTTCTTCATGTGTAACATAATGAGACCAGATGTAATGATGACTATATAAGCCCATTTTCTTCTAAGACAGGGAGTTATTGAAAGCCCTACATAATTGGTCCTCGGATGCCCATTCCCATTTCCCTATCAAAGAACTCAAGGAGGTGAATTTGCTATAATGGGCAGGCATTGTCCTGAGCACTGTCATCAGGCCATGCTGATGTTCATGTTCTTCAAGCAGGTGGAGCTCCTAGGAGCGTTGATTTGGCCTGATTACACTTTATCCTGGTTGACAGGCTATCATCTAAGACAATGATGGCACAACATGGTTGGTCCCAGCGTCACCTGTTCAGGTTAAATATTGTTTGGAAATGTAATTATAGAGCATTTCCTGGGTAAATTTGATAATCAGTCACATTTAAGAACCAATGTTGTAAATTTAATTGAAGTGTGTGTGTGTGTGTGTGTGTGTGTGTGTGTGTGTGTGTGTGTGTGAAACTCCCCTAGAAGATCCCAAGGACCCATCTGCCTGGCCAAATGGGCCATATTCCTGCTACCATCTGAATTTCAGGTCTCAGATATGATCACTTTCCTCACAGAATTTATTGTAATACTATAATAAGGGCAAAGATAACGTGTGGCACTCTGCATCTTCAGTTCCCGACCTTCTGGGTGGCCAGCATACAATAGATGGTGTACTGGTTTGTTTTGTGTCAAGCTAGACATTTGACACAAGCTAGAGTCATCAGAGGAAGGAGCCTCAGCTGAGGAAATGCCTTCATGATGTCCAGCTGTAAGGCATTTTTCTCAATTAGTGATCAGGTGGGGGAGGGCCCTGCCCATTGTGGATGGTGACATCCTTGGGCTGGTGGTCCTGGGTTCTATAAGAAAGAAGGTTGAGTAAGCCAGGTGAAGCAAGCCAGTAAGTAGTACCCCTCCACGACCTCTTCATCAGCTCTTGCCTCCAGGATCCTGCCCTGTTTGAGTTCCTGTTCTGACTTCCTTCAATAGTGAACAGGCATATGGAAGTGTAAGCCAAATAAAGCTTTTTCTCCCCAACTTGCTTTTTTGGTCATAGTGTTTCATCACAGCAATGGAAACCCTAACTAAGACAGATGGTGAGTATGAGAACTGAGTTTTGAGTGTGCCTAACCCACACAGAAGCTTACCTGATTAGTGGGTGTGGAAGTGAGACTGGATGGTAATTCCCTCTGAGTTCGTCTGTGTTGTTCACAAGTTACATTGACAGTATTGCAAGCCTTTGCTTCATTCTTGATGACTTCAGAGTACTCCAGATGAATGTATTTCAACACTCTTTTTCACCGATGGGGAAACTGAGACTTACAGATTCACTTTCAGGACCCTCTAAGCTGATGTGTTGTAGAGGTGAAATTAGAAGCCAAATGAATTTGATTTCACATTAGTGACTGACTAATAAAACGATTAACCTATTATCACCACAGCACATGGAATTAGCATGACCTCTTAAGTTAATCTTGCCAAATGGGCTGAAAAATTATTATCCAAATTAGCTTCTTCGGACTTTTTAACACTTGCTCAAACAACATAGTTGACCAGGGATGGTGGGCTATGCTTGTAATGCCCACACTGAGAAGGTAGTTGTGGGAAGCCAATGGTTATAGCAGCTTAGATTACACAGCAAGTCTTGAAAAGCCAAAAGATGCAGAGGTCATGGAGGGGTGCTGCTTACTAGCTTGATTCACATGTTGCTCAGCCTGCTGCCTTATAGAACCCAGGACCACCAGTCCAAGGATGTCACCACCCACCACAGGCTGGGCCCTCCCCGACTGATTACTAATTGAGAAAATGCCTTACAGCTGGACATCATAAAAAAAGACTCATAAAAAAAAGCTGAAAAAGTAAAACAACAAGCAGAAAAGCAGAGAAAGAATGCATTTATAAAAAGAAAAAGGACGGCCGGGCGGTGGTGGCGCACGCCTTTAATCCCAGCACTCGGGAGGCAGAGCCAGGAGGATCTCTGTGAGTTTGAGGCCAGCCTGGGCTACCAAGTGAGTTCCAGGAAAGGCGCAAAGCTACACAGAGAAACCCTGTCTCGAAAAACCAAAAAAAAAAAAAAAAAAAAAAAAAAAAAAAAAAAAGAAAAGAAAAGAAAAAGGACAAGCAGGTATGACTCATTCTTTCTAATACACATAATGTTTATTATTTTAATTCTGAATTTAATTAATTTAATTTAATATACATGTGGGAACCCTGGCTAATGATGACAGGCTCATAAAACTAGTCACAAATAGCCCAGACAAGTTAGCCCCAAAAGGCTGCACATAAAAATTACATATCATACAGCAATCATTCCCTGTCCACACATCCTGAAAAACTGGTTTTCACTTTAATGTTTTTCTCTTTGAGTTAGGAAAATCTTCCTAAAATATGAACATCTTTATATACAAAGAAGCCATGTGGTAGGACAGAGGATTTCATCTTGCTTACATTTTCTTTTTGGAGGAAATCATGAAAAATCTGCCTTGAACTTGTTCTGGAATTCTAAAAGGGAGCTAATTTGTAAAGTTACCCAATTATTTCTTTATTTGAAAAAAGAAAATAGTAAGGTTCATGAGCAAGTCTGGGGCGTGTCCTGGGGGCGTGTCTTCCCACGGGAAGTGCTGTAAAGTTGGAGCAGCTCCTCAGAACCAGTTAGACTGGTCCATCACCCTAGAGGGTAGGAAAAGAAAATTAATTAATTAAGATGCCCTTCCCCCCCCTCAACTGTCTCCCTGCTCCAACCCTCCCCTAACTCTTCTTCCTTTTGACTTCTCTTGTCCATTAGTGGGTTTCCTACTGAGTGCTTTCTACAGTTTGCTGACTTAAGTTTCAGACTTTAATCTGTGGCTTGTTGTCAGTTAAAAGCATGGAAGCTTCGTTGTCCTCTTTTTTTGTGTGTGTCGTTGATGAGTAAACACAATTTTGATGAAAGAAGTACTTTGTTGGAAGCTGCAAGGAACCCAGAACCCAGGCACAGTGCTCCATTCATTAAGCCTATGCCTTCTTCCTGCGTTTAACACAGTGAGTAAACAATTGCAACCATCATGTGCTGAGTCTCATGAGTGCAAAAACCAACGTGTAGCTATTACCCTGCAGTAGGCACTGAGCTAGTAATGTTAGCCATGGAGCTGATGCTCCCGTTTTATAAGTAAACAACTCAAGGCACGTGGTTGCTAGTTGGCCACCCATCCAGTTCTCACAGCTTGGATGTTACGGAAGCTTCCCATCTATCACTTTATTTAAGAGCCATGCCAGACTCTGGAGGCTCTCAGCTTGAGTGCATGGAAGTTGACCTGCACATAAGCGAGGCACAAGCAGCCGGGACAGCAGGATGCTGAGAAGTCAGTCACCTTGCTTAAGCCGCTGGACTAGCAGATGTGGAAGTGGGCTCTTTCTGAACCATGTTACTGGGGTAGGGATGAAGGAGGGAGAGGCAAGCTTCCCACAAGAAAGGACGCCCCGTGAGAGTTCAGGACTGCTCAGGTGTGCACTGAAATGCAGAACGACCGTGTTTCACAGTCTACGAATCACTTTTTTTTTTTTTTTGGTTTTTCGAGACAGCGTTTCTCTGTGTAGCTTTGCGCCTTTCCTGG